TCTATAAAAATTTAACACATAATTTATTATTGGTAAAAAATTGAGGCCCCCTAAAATTGGGGGCCTAAGGCCAATGCCTTGTTCAAATAAGCATAGAGCCGGCCCTGCGTAAATACAAAAATTAAGTGCATTGATGATAACACAAAAATTAAGTACATTGATGATAACTTTTAACTCCAGGTACTGCAAGAGGATGTGGTTGGCAGAAACTTGGATATATTATTTTACGCGATGTATCGAGACATATACGATGTATCAGGATGTTGAGTGATGTATCCAAACTGAGACGCTATGTAATGGGACATTGAGTGATGTATTTGAAATCAGGACGCGATGTATCGGGATTCGGATTCCACCAAATGAGATTTTTGTAATTTAAAAAAAAATAGCAATAGAATGTAATTAGCTCTTTAACACTTTAAAATTTATGTAAAATTCCCAACAAATTAATTCGATCCTAAAACAAGTATCGTCAACTAATATTGTGCAAGTGAATATATTAAGAAATTAAAATTGATACAAAATCTTGAAATTCTTGTAGCTTAGGGATATATATCACAAGATGATTTACAATATATAAGTAGGCTAACCAGGCACTCTCGTAAAATAACTTTAATGGAAAATGCTTCCTTTCATAAGGAAAAACAAAACATCTTGCATAATCATATAATATTGTTTACTACATAATATTCAAATGAGAGATTAAATTTAATTAATTAATTACCTAACAATTACATATATAAAATATCTCTAAAAGGGAGATTAATATTGGACATAATCATTCTTGATTATGTATTTTCAGTAACGTAATAAAAAAATTGATAAAGAATGTTCAAGCCATAAGTAAATTTATTTTGGAAAATGGATGCACCACAAATTTTAAAATCAAACTACGCAATATTTGTAATTGACTTTTTTTTTAATGGATATATGCAACAAAACTTTACAAATCAAAATGCGTAATATTTAGATTTAATGAGTTTATATTTAATTTAATATGCCGAGAACGGATGGAGCAAAAAAAAAGTAAATAAGAAAAACAAAAAGAAAAAAGAGGGTTTAACATAAAAAGAAATCACTTTTAAGTTTTAAGCTTTTATCGGTCTCTAGATGGTAACAATAGCAGTGAGACATGAAGAACAGAGAGCAGAATCACGAATTAAGGATTATTTCAAGGAAAAACTACCTAATTACACAAATATTCTTACCATATTTACTAGTTCTCTCTATAATTTGAAATAATTACATATTGTCTCACTAATTAATAATTTCATATTATATTTCAAGTCAGATACACCTAGATGTACGGGTATCAAATAGGCGGGTTGTATTGAAATTGAAGATATTAAAATGGTTTGAAATCGAGATTGGGTTGGGTTATGACCCGCCCAAGTTTACTTTGGGCTCAAATGGGCTAAAAATCGGGTTGGGTCATGACCCGCTTAATCTCAATAATTTTAACATATTGCAATTTAACTTTTATAGCCACACTTCGAATTTCAACTCAAGAAAATAAAATAAAAAGTTACATATTGATAGATAAATTCCAGAAGTTATAAAGCAGATAGTAATTCATATCTTCAATATAGGAACATACATTACATCAATGCAAATAAAGAGTCTTAAAACGGATTGAAATTGGAGATTAAGTTGGCTCAATTGAAAATTCTTTTAAAATGGGCCAAGGCTTAAATGAGTTGAGTTTGAATCCAATTCAAATTATCTTCAGCATAACCCATAAAATATTGGGCGGATTGGACAAGTTATCTATACTTGGGCTCATTTTTGACACCTCTACCTAGATATATGTATTTTTACTATTAGATACACTGAAAAAGGGAGAGAGGTGAGTGAGTTAAGGGAGCCAATGAGATAATATATGTATCCCAAATACAGATACATGTATATGTGATACTAGATATATTTTGAAGTACAAATATATAGGGAAAAAGGAGAGCGAGAGAGAAAGAGAGACGAGATAAGAGAGAGGCGAATGAAAGAGTCAGATACATGCGAACTCACTTGGATACAGTGTATCTGAAACAAATTACACTTAATTTTGACCCCATGTATCTGAGATACATTTATGCGGATGCGCCATATACATGTATTCGAAGTCCAAATTCTCATAAGATCGTAATATTGAAAACTCACATGAAGAGAAGTATCAACTATTGAGAATCAAACTTGTGCACATGTAGGCTTTTCTTGGACACCGCTACCATTAAGCTATCCCATCAAGTTGTTGCAAAGGTGTGCAAAACTTCAAATATAATCTATCAAGTAGCGTTTTACTTATATACACGATATAATTTTCCGATAAAAAGTATTCGTCTGATCGTCCTCAGATCATTCTAGCTCTGCCCCTATGTATTTTACCTACACTTAATATGTATCTATAAAACAAAATGTTGATAATGGAGAAATTTGAGACTACTAAGGAAGTCGATAGACTCTTTCATTAAGTATGAGAAAAAGGGCTAATCAGTCGGACATATGTCCTACACTGTGACAAAGGAAAGCAAGATCTTACCTGTTTAAGGCATGTTTGGACATACAATTCTCGCGAAAGATCAAGTTGGTGAGACTACTTTTCTCAACTCCATCAGCTATTGATTATGACCCAATGAAAAAAAGGTTGAATTCATATTAATTTGAGCACAAAAGAACATACTCTCGAGGGATTGATGAGGGTAACTGAAAAGGGGATCCACTTTATTTTTATTTCATAGTAAGAAAGGTCTTGATTTGGTATGAGATTAGAGAAAACTTGCTCGCAAAATATATATCTCAAAAAGATATGCTAATTATACGTGATAAATCTTTAAATCTAGACTACTGATTACGTGTCTTAAAATTTGAATGTCTTACATGCATTTAAAATGTATATCTAAGAGAGATGTTGATTTTATGCATTAAAACTTAAACTTTTTACCCATACTAAACATCAACAATAATAACATATTAGTGTAATCTACAAGTAAGATGTGCAGAGGGTAGTGTACATAGACTTTACCCTTACCTTGAAAGGGATGTTGATTCTGATAGGCCCTTAGTTCAAGAAAATAAATGGGGTGAAGAGCCAAGACAAAATACTAAACAAGGCATAATAAAACATTTTGAAAAAGGAACAGTAATTACAATAAAATAATTTGATAATCAAAGTACAAATAATAATAAATAATAACAAAATAGAAAAATAAGAAACTACAAGATTAATACTACGACTAGTATGGAAGACAAGTGAGACAACAATGAACTACCTAATAACCTTTTATCCTAATTTGTATCCACTAAAATCTTGTATCTAAGGTCATGTCCTTGATAAGTTGAAGTTGCACCATGTCCTATCTAATCACCTTCAGTCAATACTTCCTTGGCCTACATCTATCTCTCCTGAAATCATTTATAGTCAACCTTTCACGCCTCTACAGGAGAATTTGTGCATCTCCTTTTCACATTTCTGAACCATCTCAGCCTCACGTCTTGTATTTTATCCTTCGTCGAGGCCACACTCATCTTGTCCCAAATATCTTACAATTTTAATTTTATCTCTTCTAGTATTCCCACATATCTCTCTCAATATCCTTATTTCCTCAACTTTAATTTTCTAGACGTAAGAGTTCTTGACTGACCAACACTTCTCTTCATACAACATATCAGTCTAAATGAACCATTCAGGCTTCAAGGTTCGTCTCCATAACCTTAGCTTAGCTTTAACTCTACCACGAGTCTTGTAGTTAAAACTATGTCATCTGCAAATAAAATATACTATGGTCATCTTTGATTTTTTGCGTCAAAACATCCATCACCAAGGTAAATTAAAATGGGCTAAGATCTGATCCATAGTGCAAACCCGTCATAATATAATTGGTTAGTGCTCTGAGTCTTCTTCCACTATTCTTACTTGGCTCTTGTCTACACTGTAGATGTCCTTAATCTCCATAATGTACGCCAGGTACGCCTCTAGCCTCCAAACACTTTCATAGAATCTTTTTCAGGACTTTGTTGTATATCTTTTCTAGCCTGATGAACATCATGTATAAGTCCCCTTCCTATACTGTTCCATCAGTTTCCTAACAAGATGGAAGACTTCTATAGTTGAATGTCTTAGCACAAATCCTAATTAGTTCTAAAAAATAATCTTCATCATTACCTTCATCTCCTTCACCCTCTCTCAAACCTTCGTATTATGGCATAGCAACTTCATATCCTATAGTTGTTGCATTTCTGACTGCTACTATACTATTGTTCTTGTACAACAGAATGATTGTACACCACCTTTGTTCTTTGGGCGTTTTTATCGTCTTAAAAAGGACACTAAATAATCCAGTTAGCCAGTCTGTACCTATCGTGCCTACGCTCTTCCATATATAAATCCATCGGGATCACATCTAACCCGATCGCTCTTCCCTTATGCTTCATTTGAATCACACTCTTAACCTCCTTAACCTTTATACACCTCCAATACCTATATCAGATATATATATATATCTCAAAAGAGACGGTAAAATGAGATAAATTTCCCGATGTAGACTATCGATTCTAATTCTTAAAATTTAAATTTCTTACTCATAATCAATATCTCTCTCTAATAGAGCCGTTAATATCAGACAATTTTTTAAATTTGAACTATTGATTCTGAGTTTTAAAACTTAAATTTTCTTATCCACGATCAATATATATCTCTAGAAGAGATATTTGTCAGTATATCTAATAGAGCCGTTAATATTAGACAAATTTTCTAATTTGAACTACTGATTCTAGGTTTAAAAACTTAAATTTTCTTATCAATAAATATCTCTAAAAGAGATTTTCTAATTAATTATGAGAAGAAATAAAAAGTAACAAAGCATCACAAAAAAAGGAGCATATTTTCAGGCCACCATATTTCCCAATTGTTATATATAGGGTGTCATAGTTAACCTTTTATTAACCAAAAATCAACTCTCTACACTTCTTGTTTATCATCTCAAGTTTTCTTTGATTTCCTTGTAGAAATGGCAACCAATTCTACATGGACTAGGGAGGAAGACAAAATGTTTGAGAATGCATTGGCCATTTTTGACAAGGACACACAAGATAGATGGAGTAATGTAGCTAAGGCCACAGGCAAAACTGAAGAAGAGGTAAAACTACATTACCAAAAACTTGTAGAAGATATCGAAAACATCGAGGCTGATCTAGTTCCCTTGCCTAAATATAATGAGGTAAGTGTTGGTCATGACAACAAAGCAAGGACGACGAATAAAGGTAAAATACCCTAACTATTAATCGTTACATTCTTCTATCTGAATTATCATCACCTAGCTAGTTAAGTAGATGATAATAGTTCATATAGGAAAAAAAAAAGCAATGGCTAGTTGGTCTTGTAAGCTTCGAGATGATGATATTTCAAATAGCAAAATTAATGATATAAATGAGGTGTGAAACTTGCAAAAAAAAAAAAAAAAAAAAAAGATCAATTGTGTTTTTTTCTTTTACAGTTTTATTAACTCTAAATTATTTAAATCTAAAACTATATATTGTGTGTTATCTTTTCTCTCATTTAATTTATTTTAATTAATGAACTTGTTATTTTATTGACAGAGTGAAGTCTCTAAAGCTCAATTATTAGAAGCAATAAATGGCAATGAAGATGGAGAAAAAGATATTGCTAATTAAATTGTCTTTCTTTTCTATACCATTATTTTCATTTAATTTTTTCAATGTCTTTTTTTTTATATAATAAGCAAATTTATGTACTATGTTTCGGAAAGGTGACTCAAAAACATCTTTTATATTCGAATAAATGATATCTTTATGAATTATCGTACAAATTCGTGTGCATTATATTACTTATAATTAAGCAGATAAAATATTCTTAGTAACGAAATTCTGAGTTCATTCCTTAAATGGTTACTCAATTATTATAAATTATACAATAAAGAAAATTTTGGTCAAAAAACTTGTGGTCCCCCAAATAGCTATTTTCATCCCCCTACCCCCCCCGTCACCCCTACCCCCTAAATTTTCATTCAATCCATAACTTCAATAAACTACACTTTGATTCTACCTCTACACTATAAATACCCCTCCACCCCCTTTGATATTTCTCACAAATTCATGTACTCCCTCATCTCCTTCTCTCTCAAATATATAATATATATGTATATGTATATATATTCTCTTCTACCATAATCTCTCTAACCCTCTTTATTTTTATTAATGTTGGTGCTATCAAGTTTGGTGAATTTTTTTGGAGTAAGTTTCAAATTTCAACATTAATTTTTTACTTTTGGTTATAATTATATGCTTTTACGTAGAAGTTTGGTATATTTATTTCATTTCTTAATTTATTTTATCCAGTATTTAATTTTCTTTTATTATTTGGTTTTATTATTTTTCATATTTTATTTAATTTTAATATGGATTTTGGTATAAAAATAAAAATAAAAATTGGCATGAATGTCCCTAAAGTGGTGAGCTTTTTCTAGAAAAAAAGAGAGTAAAGGTTTTGGTTCTAATGAGGTGTTAGTTTTTTTAAATTAATTTTTAGAGTTAGATTTAATTAATATGAATGATTTTACTTATGTTGATGAAACTTATTTCTCTCGTTCGTTGATATTAGTTCGGATACTCAACTAGATCAGGAAACCTTACAAAGATATTGTGGTAATTTTGAGAAAAAAAATAAAGGAATGAGTAGAATTAAAAGAAGAAAAACTAGATTATACACCTACTAGTTCGGTTATCGAAGCTCCTACTCAAACTCACCCTTAGTCTGGAGCTAACCTTCCCTACAAGGGGTAAGGCAGAATGTGTGCATTCTAAATTTTTTGTTGTGTGACAATTTATGATTCAATTCGAAGAAAAAACTAATAATTATGAATCTTAAAATTTAAATTTCTTATCCGCATTTAATATATATCTTTAAAAAGGACATTAAATCCATATAAATTTTTCGATCTAGTCTAATAATCTCTTTTTTCCACTCTCTCCTTTGTATCATTTTAATTATAATGTTCATTAGTTTTGTAATAATGGCATTCGATTCAACATGGACTAGAGAGGAAGACAAAACGTTTGAGAATGCACTGACCATTTTTGACAAGAACACATCATATAAATGATGTAATGTGACTAAGGCCACTGACAAAACTGAGAAAGAAGTGAAATTACACTAAAAAAACTTGTGGAATACAAAAAAAAAATGAGGCAAGGAAATTAGATCAGGCGCAATATTTTTTACGTCTTCCACAAGTTTTTGGTAGTGTAATTTCACCTCTTCCTCAGTCTTGTGACTCTTGTCAGTGGCCTTAGCCACGTTACACCATCTATTTGGTGTCATAAATTGTCAATGTCATTTCAAATTTCTTGTTTTGCTCGCGAGTCCATGTTGAATTGGATGTCATTTATGCAAATACAAAGAACATTATTAAATGATAAAAGGTGGTGCAAAAAATAAAAGGTTAACATTGATTCTCTATATATAGCTTGAGAAATATGGTTGCTTCATTACGTTTTATTTCTTCTTCCAATTATTAATAATTAATATATTAATTGCTTAATATAACGAATCGTATACCTCACATGAAAGGTAGAGGAGCGACTTCAGAAACAGACATCTAACAACTCAACAAGGAACAACCCTTTGAATATGCGATTACAAACTATAACAATTAAGTTGTTTTTCGAAATATATTCTGTTTAACAATATTTTGATATAGTAATTCAAAATAAATTAGGCCCTAAAGCGTGCAAGTATCATCAACCAATATTGTTCAAGTGCGTGTATTCTTGTAATTCTTCTAACTTATGCATATCGCAAATAATGCGATAGATTATTACCTACATTATATAAGTTGGTAATTAATCTTGTAAAATATCTTTTGATCCTATTGGAAAATGTTCTTCCGCAAGGAAAAGTGAAAACCCAAAAATATTTTGCATAATTACATAATATTATTTACTTAATATTCAAATGAGAGATCAATATAGTTAATTAATTACCTAATAAACACATAAACTATTTCAAAATATCAGACAACTTTTCCATCTAGGCTATTTATTTTATGTCTTAAAATTTAATTGTTTTACCCGCCCTCATGAATATATATATATATGTCAAAAAGAAGCGTTAATATCAAATAATTTTTTCAAAAATTCTATAAAAGCCTATGTTGAATCCACACTCACCATACTGTGACTTCACACTATACACGTATAAAAGAAAATTTTAGATTTGCCTCTTTTCCATATTGTGAGTTCACATTATATATACACACATAAAAGAAAAGAAAATCATAACTTCTTTTCTGATCTATGCTATGAGTTCACACTATACACACCCAAAAAATAAATATGTAATGATAAAAATAGTCCGGTGTTGAACCAAAAGCCAATTGAAATTGGTTTGTAACTTTGCTAAAACATGCAAAAGAAGTGTGGTAAGTAGAGCTAGGCATTATCACGTTTTTAATTTTATTTTTTTTTATAAAAAAAAATAAAAATTGGGACAAATTATTTTCGTGAATGTAAAAATAATTATTACAAAAATGTTTTTTACATTTAAACAGCAGAAACTAATATTACCATTTGTTATGACTAGTTTTGTTTAATTATTTATTTTGATAGGATTTATGTATACATGTAATATTTACCCACCTCATTCAGTGTGATATCTAGGATGTATAATTAATAGATAACAAATTATGGTATTATCAATACAAAGATTATTATACGCGGATATACATGGCTAAAGACATAACAATCCTGATACACCAAATCAAACAGAGAATAAGAAAATAATGTCAGCATAATTAATCTCAATATAACAAATTCAACATTACTAATCTCAATATTTTTAATACACTCTATTTAATATTGTTCTCCCGTTCTTATACGCTCTATCAAACGACTACATTAATGTAATGGGTTTGGAGCGAGTTGGGCTTTCTTTTTTGGTTTCGGGGTTATTTAAGTTCACATGGGATTCTATAAGTTTTAAATTAGGAGTTGGGTGTAGAAAAAATTACCAAAATTCCACTAGTGTAAGATTTGATTACTTAAATACACATTAGTTTGCAATATTACGAATCTTGTCAGATTTTGGTGCGTCTAGATACATCCAGATATATGTATCTCGGGATACATAAGGTCAAAAGTAGGTGTAATTTATTCTAGATACATTGTATCCAAATGGATTCACATGTATCTGGATACATAGACAAATCTAATTGACCTTAGCTTCCACTCATCTCTTTTGCCACTCTCCTATGTATATGGTATCCCGGATACAAGCGAGTTACATGTATTTGTATGTATCTTGTGCGCATATATCTGGGATATGTAGACAAATCTCGCTCGCCTCTCTCCCTATTTCAGTGTATCTGATAGCAAAAAACATGTGTCTAGGTATAACTGACTTGAAATCTTATATGAAATTATTAATTAGTGATATAAAATGTAATTATTTCAAATTATAGGAAGAAATAGTAAATATAATAGGAATAATTGTGTAATTAGGTAGTTTCTCCAATAATTTATAGAGTGGTTTACCTACATTGAAAGTAATTTTCTAAGACAAAATAGAAAGAAAATTTTTATTACATAATTTCTAATAGTTGAATAATTATTCTGACTTTATAGTAAATAAGATAACACAGATGAATATAAAGAAAATTCATTAATTTGGATAGAAAAGATGTTTTTGAGTCACCTTTATACAATATCCATTGAAAATTTAAATGAAATGGAACTAAAAGAAAGACATTTTCAGTCAACATCCTTCTCTTCATTTCTTGCTTCTAATTCAGCCTGCCAATACAATAACAAGTTCATTAATCCAAACAAATGAGAAAAAAAATGTCAAAAACTATGTTATATATGATTAATTATTCATGACTTTTATTGGATTATCAATTATAAATACCAATAATTTGAGAAGTATTAATTTTACCTTTACTCATCATGCTCACGATTGTTGTTATGATCACCACTTACTTCTTCATCTCTAGGCAAAGAAATTGGAGCAGACTCAATTTTTTTTATTTCCACCATAAGTTTTTCATAGTACGACTTAATTTCTTCCTCAGTTTTACCTGTGGTACGAACCAAATAACACCACATACCTGGTGTTTCATCAATACCATAAATAGCCAAAGCATTTTGAAACTTCTTGTGTTGCTCCAAAGTCCATGTTGAATTTGAGGCCATTTTATGCAAACACAAATTAGAATTGTGATGTTTTGGTACAGAAAAAGTTAACCTGAACAGTACTCTATATTTATAGCAAATGAGAGATACAAATAGACAAAAATATGGTCCACCACAAATTAGTCAAATTAATTAAAATTAAATATCTTAGATTTTCTTGAGGGGAAATAGATTTTATTTTAGGAAAAAAAATAATAGTCCAAGTCAGAAAATTTATCTGATAATAACGGCTATTTATATTGAGTGTTGGTAAGTACGTAAGTTAAATTTTAAGAATCAAAATAAGTTGATCATATCTAGAGCTGTCAAAAAAGGGTCAGCCCAGCCCTACCTGGCCCAAGCCTCGCGGGCTAAGGAATTTGAAGGGCTAGGGCGGGCCGGCCCTTCATTTGGAAGGGCCTTGAAATGCTCAACTCAACCCAACCCTAGAAGGGCCGAGGGTTGTGGCGGGCTAGCCCTTCTTTTTT